TACACCTTCCTCCTCGCGTTTTCTTTCTCTCAAACGTCGCGAAATTCCGACACCCGTGTATGTGTCGAGAAAACTCGGCAGAGAAGAACCGCTTCGCGCTCTGTATAAGCTTTTAACGTCAAAAAAAAAAGCGTCGGACTAACCGGACGACTTCGTCCCTTCTTTTCCCTTCGGTAAGCGCGTCGTTAGACCGAACTCCGCCCCACCTCCCCTTTAACCTCCAGTAAAACGGTGTCACCTTATATAATGCGTATATCGATACCGGTGGTCGACTGCGTTATAAACGAATAAAAAGTATCTATCGCAACGGTGTGTAAATTTAAAAATAGGTGTAAGTACTGCGACGCGCGCGCGCGCACGCGCGAAGTAACCGACGACACGCATATGTGAGAAATGTAAGAAGGAAGAAATGTATAAAACGGGGTCTACAATGAGAATTTAAGGCGTGAGATTTAAGAAATCGACCGATCATAATTGATTTTTCCTCTGTAACTAATAATTCGACTATTATTGGTCAATTTCTTAAGGCTTAGAGCTTAAAGCATCTATTGAAAACCGGGACTTAAGCGGGGTTTTACAATGACAATTTAAGACGTAAGACTTAAGAAATTGACCAATCACAGACGAATTATAGAAGAAAAATTAATTATGATTGATCAAGTTCTTAAGAATTAGAGCTTAAAGCGTCTATTGTAGACGGGAATTTATGGGACATGCGTACATGATGATAAGACGGTATGGCATTTCCAGCGTATCCAAAAAGCCTACATAAATATTATTAATCGTCATTGTCATTCCCGCGCGATCGTCGACGTTAGCCTAACGCGAATGATCGGCAACTTTTTTTTTCGAAAAGTATCGCGCGATCAATTATCGGGTTGTCAACGACCGGGCGGCGGGCGGGCGGTCCAGATCGGAATAACAACGTATTTCGGAAGAGCAGCCAATTTGACATCGCCATCCATCCAATTGGTCAGTGCCCGTTGTCGTAGTCATCGTCATACCCAGCATTGGATAACACCAAAAATGACCAGTTTTAACGCGCACAGTCTCCAATCGAGCCGACCCGAATTTACTACCAGGCTCTAAATTAATTGAACGTTACGCGCAGCGCGTTTCAATTAGTAACAATTACAGCTCGATTGTTACAACGGGGATCGAGGACGCCGCGAAAAAAACTTTCGCCGGCTAAAACGAGCCGCCGTCGCTCCGGCGAGCATCGTCGTCGATATCGCGAGAGGACAACGATATGCGCGCGTATTGCGTTAAGCGGGGTCTACAATGAGAATTTAAGTTCTAAGCCTTAAGAAATTGACCAATCACTATTGATTTTTCTTCTATAATTCGACCATGATTGGTCAATTTCTTCCATTGTAGACTCGGAATAAGCGGGGTCTACAATGAGAACTTGAGGTGTAAAATTTAAGAAATTGACCAATCACAATTGATATTTTTCCTATAATTCGACCGTGATTAGTCAATTCCTTAAAACTTAAGGCTTAAAGCATCCATTGTAGACTAGGAATAAGCGGGGTCTACGATGAGAAATTAAGCTCTAAGCTTTTGGAAACTGACCAATCACCATTGATTTTTCTTCTGTAATTCGACTGTAACTGGTCAATTTTTTTAAGGCTTAGGGCTCAAAGCATACATTATAGACATAGGTGGACGTGATTTAACAGGACGATTGATATTACACGACGCGCCGTAAACCGGTCAGTGAGAGATGGAATTCGGACGCGTCCCATTTTGAGATACTACGTTCGATCGCTCGGGTTCGGCCAATTCCCACGTCGCGACGGCAATATATCGTAAAGCGTACCCGCGAGCTGTATATCATCCGACGAGCGACCGGAGGACTCTTACCGGTGCCGAATACACGATGGCTGCCGATAAATCGTCTCCTTGAAGCTAGAAAACACGTGACGACTCCCGGCCGATCGTCACGGGGACGCTCGCATTTCTCCCTCTTCGAGTACACGTCGCCCCCCCCCCTCCCCTCCCCCCGCACGAGCAAGAGAGCTCGTGCTTTTCGCGACAGGCGACATAGGTGTACGAAAGGAAGCTTCGCCCTCCCTCCTCCTTCTCTTCCTTCATCTTTGGCGGTGTGTTTTCCCCGCATTATCTTCATCACGCTGATCAATCCCGTCGATTTCTGCCGTTTCCGCACGAAACGCATCAAGCCCGTGTTACATCGTGATAAGGAGTGCTTACGTGCGCACACACACACACACACACACACACACACACACACACACACGCCGACCCTCTCCCTCTTTTCCAGCCCCCTGCCCGCCGGTTTACCCGGGGCGATATTTCACCAGCAGGGGCCGGCGAGAGAGAGAAAGAACGTTCTTTAACTGCGAATTTATCGCCGGCCGGAGCTACCAGCTCTCGTTTATGCCGCTTTGTGTTGCTTTTTCATCCGGAGGATTAACGTTCCGCTTCTCCCCGGCTTCAGCCGGGGATTCCGGCCGGCGATTTTGTACACAACTTGTTGCGATTGGGCGACTGTGTAAGGTGAGGGGGACGTCCCTCGTGTAGTATAAAGTGCCAAGCAGCCGGTGGACGTGTTCCCGATGAACCCTGCGCGCGAGCTTGACTTGCCGCCTCCAACGGTGCTCGAGTCTGAAGGGCGCTCAGCCCCTCCGTTAAACGGGGTCTCCAATGAGAATTTAAGTTCTAAGCCTTAAGGAATTGACCAGTCATAGTCAGTCGTTTTCCTCAAATTCGACTGGGATTGCTGGATTCCTTAAGGCTTCGAACTTAAAGCACCTGTTGTAGACCGGAACTTAAGAAACTGACCAATCACAATTGATTATTCTTATGTAATTCGATTGTGATTGGTCCGTTTATTAAAGCTTAAGGCTTAAAGCACTTATTGTAGATTAGGACTAAAGCGAGGTCTGCAATGAAAATTTAAGTTCTAAGCCTTAAGGAATTGACCAATCATAGTCAGTCGTTTTCCTTACATTCGATTGGGGTTGGTCGATTTCTTAAGGCTTAGAGCTTAAATTCTCATTGTAGATCTCGCTTTAGACCTGAATCTACCCTTCCTCGTAAATGCATGTCGTGCGTAATTGCGGTCGGAATATTTGGTTCAAGCAAAACTCAGCGACTCAGAGACTTAGGTCGTTCATCCGGTCAGATAAATCCATCCGAACCTTCTTTCTCCGCACACATTATATAAAACATTTAGTTTGCCCACTTATATAGTACATATGTGTGTGTACGGTTTGCCTATTCGGTGTATTTTAGGTACGCATAAATGCAAACTGTCTTCGGCATAGTTACTGGAAATATAGCGACCCGAGTGGAAAAATGTTGGGGAAAAACTGGCCACTACGCAGAAACTGGACGGTTTTTATCGGCTTGTATTAACTAGACAATAACTATTCGGAAAATTGTCCAGAAAATACTAATTATTATTTCTTCTTGGTCAGTCTCTTGCCATAAATTATTCCAAGAAAATAGTAAGTTAACACCGGACAGTTTCAGTTTCCAGCAAAAGCACTTGAAATTCCGGCTAGTGTTTCTCGGCTATTTTCTGGTCGGAAACTCGGCGAAATAATAAACGAATGAAATGCTCAAAGTCCTATTAGGAACTGGTCGGAAACTGGCCAATTTTACTATCCAGTTATCGTCGAAGCAAGAGTCCCCTAAACTTGTTAGATTTTTACCGATGATCAGAAACTAGCTGGTTAGGAAATTACAGGCCAGTCACTGACTAGAAACTAGAACTGGTTTAATTTCTATTTGGGGAGCGACGATCGATCTAAGTATGAATCTATGAAAAACGCCACTTCGTCCACGAACGTCGCGGTTTCGACTGACACCAAGTCGAACGTATCCGAAGAAGAAACAATCCGAAGAAATGGCCAAAATGCGCTTGTAACTCTCCTCTAATCACACTAATTAATTATTCCTTCCTCCTAGGTTGTGGGCGATACAGTATCGATACGGTATCGAGACTGTGTCGATACTGTATCGTCCGACTCTACCTCCTCCCGTGGAACGTTCGATCCAGATGTTCCGATGGGTCGACAATGAGATTTGCGGACGCGACGAGATGGTGTGACCGCAGGTCACCGCGTGAGCAACGATAAAAATCGATCCTCGCACAAACGGGACAAGCTCGTCCATTCCCCAGCCGAACAGTATTAACGCTTGAGGCTACGAACTGCATTATGTCTCGGGCGAAAGAGAGCCGGCCGGTCCGGGTGAGACGTGGAAGGCGAAGAGAGAA